TAAAATTATTGATTATTATTTATATTATATGAAATATCATTGCATAACAGTTACCAATTACCAAGCTTTTATTTCTTATTGTAGTTTCCACACTCTCTGTAGGAATCACTGTTACATCTTTCATATCGATCTTCCAGAGAAGGCAGGCTAGCTTATGTTCATATCGGTAATGCCTTTTAAATAGTTATAAACAATTGTAAATACTATTATAATCCAAGAAAACGAGAGATAAAATTATAAAAAAATAATATATTGTTACAAATTCGATCACTACATTAAAATTTGTTGAATTGATTTTCGTAATTTCAGAACATTTTCTATTTACTTAAATCATATATTTTATTATAACAAAGCGCATGATATAAACAATATCAAAATAATTTACAAAAAAAAATTTCTGAAATAAAAGTATATATATATAAATATTTAAATATTGAAACGTGTGTGTTAAATGTTAAATGTGGAGTTAATAATCACATATTTAACTAGCAAACCGGGCAAACTCCGTTTCACCACCAGATGGTTTCATTATAAGTAACATTTTGTTTGGTGATTAAAAGATGAAGAAAAAAATTGCCTGCTGTTGAAATTGAATAAAAATTCATACAATGCACGTGATTGATTTGATGGTTTCCAATTGAAATGTTAGGAAACGAATAACTACTTTTTTACTTTTTTTGCACAATCGCACAGTGAACACAATGCTGGTTTGTAACATGCAATTAACTGAGCAGAGAACAATGAGTAGCTGTCAAACAAATGAGTAGCAGTTAAACAGTAAATATCAGTTTGTAGTATATGCTAAGTATCAGAGATGACGCTGTGCGTGAAAAAAGAAAAAGTGTTTTCCGCTGTTCTGTTGAAATCTTTCTTCAATCTTTTTGCTATAAACCTTACGGAGTCCGAGACCTTTCCAACGAATGCAAAATCGTCGAAATCGGTTTGTGCGTTCTGGAGTAATATCGTCAGGAAGGAAAACCCGAAAATATCTATTTCTTGAATTTAATAAAAGTTAAATTTTATTTTATTTTCACTTACTTAAGTAGGAAGATTCCAGCCAAAAGAATAGCTCCTGCAATAAATGCTCCAACTGTGGCCAATCTAGGGTCTGCCCTAAAACCACATCGTTCACCAGTAAAACCGCATGGGGGTTCTGCTAACGGTACGGAACCTCCAAGCCATTGTATCGGCTTATTTTCATCTAAATAGTAAAATTCCTAAAAAATGGATATTTAAAAACATATAAATCTTATTTATTCAGTGAATCATCGATGGATGCGCCTATTATCTGTCAAATGAACAATTTGGTTGGGCATAATTGGAAAATAAAACTAATTATAACTAAATTAACTGCTATATACTATATACGACTAAAACTAGATTTTTTGGACATTTATCTACGATTAAATCGTATAAAAGGTGGATGATGTCGTATCACTTACAGGAATATCACAATCATCCTCATTCCCTTTGCAACTTTTTCGCAGAGATTCATTTTTTAAATTATATCGAAAACATCCCACAGGCTGCATGCTCATTTTTATGTGGTCTTTCATCTGTTTATCGTGCATTAGAGCGACTAATGTAAAGTTGCCTTCGGCGTCGCCGTTTTTATCTATAAATACCTGCAAGTACACATATTTCAATTATTTAGGCGTAAAATATTATGGTAATTTAATAATATAATGCATCGATGTAAAATGCTAAAATATAATAAAATTTATTTTTCAGAAGTTTTGATATTTTGGCTTCTCATGTGAAAAGATAACATTTATATTTTATTCTGTCTTGATTAATTTGAATTAAAATCAGTTTTTATTATTTCAAGAAGCAGATGAAATCGGATAAATTATTACAAAATTGCACAAAAAAGCTATTCTTATCATATAAGCTAGAAAAGTTTCTTCTTATTTATTTCCACCTATTACATTCTGAGCATCAGCAACTCTTTGGTCGAATTTAAAAAATGTCTGAATCGAATGCAAATCCATTGATTGGTCGTCCGGGTATGATGGTGAAAAGGTCTATCTAATAAGATTTTAAAATTCTTTACTTACATCAAATCCTTGTATCGAAGTATAAGATCGATTTAAAATTCTTTCCAAAACAGCAGTGCCATTTTTAGGGTCGCGATTTTCTCGGAGAAGTTCGGTAAGGGCTCTGGCATAAATGATAACCGCGTCGTATAAATAGGCAGCTTGAATAGGCACCTGCATTTAATATCTTTAAATAACATTTGTTACAAACAAATTACAAAATAGAGAAAACGTAAAAACTTAAAAACCTAATTTTAATTATATTTCTCTATCTTTAATCCAATATAATTATGATTAGATATTAAAAACTACAATAATGTAGTTGTATATATAATTTACTAAAATAAAACTATTTTATGAGTAAAGACTGAGTATAATAGCAGTTTCTTTATGCGTTACTTGATTTTGTCTTTTGCTGTCCAAAGATAATATGGAGGTATTTTTATTATCTTAAACTAATGTAAACAATATTGAAAGTTACTAGTACAAATATAAAAAATAATATATACAACTACAACTATATTCAACTAAAAAATAAAAAAAAACAATCAATTTATTTTTTTAATAATAATTTAACAAAATTAAATTCAATTTAATTAACTTATCATCATTATCGAGTATATTGAGTACTTTTTACCAAAATTAAACGTATGAGTAAGAAATACCAAAAACTTATAAAAAATCATATCACATTAATATAATAAACTGTATTGTCTGTATCCGATGTGTTAAATTAGCATAATTTCCAATATTTTAAAGACTTTAAATAAGTATTTTTTTACTAATTTACGATCCGATGTTTTATGAAGATAAATATTAACATACTATAATTGCAGAGTATTTAAACACCCGTATTAATACCGCCGAAAAATCAGGCGACTTACCGGTATTTCGGAATACATAGAATTGTCCTATATTCTGATTGCCATTGAAAATAAAATTAAAAAATAATTGTCTTTTATTTGTGGAAATTTCATGCATTTCACTTACTGATATGCTACCGAATATTTTTTCATGATACGGAACACAAAATGGTGGATTTATCGATAGTTTCTTGATTTTTTGGCAAACCTCGCTGTAAAGGAGAAGATATACACATTTTAATATCTATCTCAATATTTTCATATATTACTAAGCATCATAAGATACAAAAATTAATCAACTTGTACATCATATATTTCTATTTCAGTTTTCACTCATTAGAGTTTAATTTCATAAATGACCATAAGAAATATAAGAATGCCTGCATATCAAATAACAAATTCATCAAGGCATTAGCTAATTACTTCCATAGTACGTTTAACAAGGTCGATTCTCAATGATTCACGAGTGCCTATATTGCGATCGACACATGCCTTAAATTTGTTTTGATAAGTGTTGACCAAAATATTTGGTTTGCTTTGACCATGAACATGCAAAATTAAATTCTGTAATATTTTTTATATTAACAAACCCGTAGTACTACATATTTATGGTATACAATTTGTGGTACTATATCTTATAGAATCACATATCGAACCAATTTTAACTTTAGGTTCGTAAATTTTTTTGTTAAAAATATATATTAAAATTTTGAATGCTTATTATTTTATTATTTTTTATGCTAAATTACTGATTCATAATCATGTAATAAATTATTTATCCCCTTTATTAAAAATGACAACTATCATATTAATTAATTATAAATTAACTTACTGAAATTTTGGATTTCTTGGATGCGATGGCGTTAATTTTAATACTGATCTAAATCCTTTAACATCAGTTGGCGAGAGATGTTTGTTTTGCAAGTAAGGGTCTAAGTAATCTAAAAGATAAATAAGAATTAATTTGTGTTGCATGATATTAAAATTTATATATTAACTTATTGGTATTGGTATTTTGCCTTGAGGCAAGTTACATGAAATTCCTGAAATGTGTTCCCAACTGATATCTTTCGAACAGTTTTTGATTTTTTAAAATCGATTCGGTAGTGGACGAAAAATGTAACACTTTTTCCAAATTTCAAAGGCAGAGAAACGATAACCCTTATCGAGATTCATCAAATGGCTTTTAAATTTCTGAAATCGGTTCAGGCGTTTTTGAGCAAACGTCGATGAAAGGTCTAATTTTGACAAATGCCAAAAAAACAATACTAATTTTTGCAAACTTTGATGAATTTTTAAAGCCAAACGAGTTGCCGTAGGGCCGTAATACTTTAATGTGATCTAGAAGACTATGGTAATTACCGTCAGAAAAATAATAATAAAATTTATTGAAATTTTTTTTTAACACTTTATTACAAGAAAACGGCCTGGCCTTTACATACTTTTACCAAATTTGGTCTCATTCGATTCAAAATGGCTTGAAACGTCAAGAAAACATAAAATTAGCGTATCGTATTTTTTGATAAAAATATAAACTTCTCTTTCGGGGAGTTAATAATGCAAAATGTAAAGGATTTTGTTGCAAAATGTTTAAATTTATATTTTTATGAATATATTATATGTGAGTTAATTTGACTAAATAAGACAATTAGGCGCAAAAATTTTAAATAGTAAATTCATTGTAATGTATTACTATATTACCTCTTTGCATGAATGTTTCTTTATGTCGTGGATCATAGATTTCATTATCGACAGATATGACAACATACTCTCCATTATCCAACAAATGTTTTGCTTGCAAACATCGAACAAAATCCACTAAAGCTATGTGTTCACCAAGAAAAACATACACTAAAAAATATTTAAAAAAATTAAAAATATCAAAAATATATGTAATAAATTATTAGTATTCTTATTTTAATACAGAACAAATACTTAGATTTTTTATTTCAATCAATTATATGCCAATATGTTTGTCTATCAATCTACAATTTAATTTAAAATTTCTCAATTGAAAGTGTATTTGATAAACTTCTGATGATTTGTTATTCCATAAAATACCTCTAGTACTTCTATAAGTCTCCTTCACAATATTTTCCATCTGATGTATATGTTGGGGTATATAATCGGTATATTCTTTGGTTGCTGCGATTGTAATGTCATTGTACATGCAAATATCCTGAAAAGTATTTTTCTGTGACAATGAATAATTTAATTGAAATGTAGCATAAAATAGAAAGAATAATCAATACATTGAATTTCATACTGAATATAATTTTTTTTTGAGATCACAATAATTAATTTAAATACTATGATATTATTGAAAATATTAACTAAAGTTTTGTACGTATTTCTTTTTACTGAATGTGCATAAAATCAGGTTGTTACATAGTTCATTTGAGATAATGAGTCAATTAACTACCCAATATAATTGATGATAATCAACTCTTTTTTTGATAGAAATGTTCGAATATAAGTTTAAGTAATTGTATGGAAACTTGATGTCTGGATAAAAAAAATATTCGTATCGATCTAATTTTTTTAAATATAATTTAAAAAAAAAACTTATAAAAATATAAAATTATAGACAGTAATTGATAAAACTTAAATTAATTCAAAGCAATAAAATAATTGTTATATTCAATCATAGCATGAGTAGACTAGTATTAGTAACAATAAATAGACAATGCTAACTAATACAAAGAGATGATAAAAGTTTTTTCGAATTAATAGGCAACTTCGATGAACGCCTGGATTTTAAAAACGATTTTTGCAATCCATGTTAATGCATTAACACTTCTAAACATTTTTTTATTTACTAAAGAAAGACGTGAAAATTACAATGATATAAATATTAATTTCTATTATTCTTTTGTCGTTGATCTAATATAAATATGGTTAGGGATTGAAATTCACAAGAAATCAATAAACAATTATTTCAAAATTATTTGATATTTGAAGTAATTGAATTCATTTATATTCTTGGGCAAATTTTATTTGTTTATGTGAAACGCAAGAACTACAACGATATAAATTTCAATATTCTATTATATACTATCATCGTTGTTTCAAAATAATTATGATTTAGAGTCTATAAAACAATAATAAACTAGCGGGGCTCGTGGCATCGTGCCTTAAGGCAAATTGCTGGATCTTCCCTTTTTTATTTTGAAATAATTTGGAAGTTCTGAACTTTTTTTCAAAGCAATCGTTCTGCAACTGCATAGAGACGAAATATGGAAGCGTCGCCGTCTAACGGATAAACATTGGTACGGAACCCATAATGAACAAAATTTATACTAATTGTTAAAATCTCTATAAAATCTCTAATAATTCGATGTGCATATGTCTATTTTTAACCGCCAAATGGCATTTTTTTACTTTTTTCACCAGATCTCCGAAACCGCTAGACTTTTTTAATCAATTCTTCATCTTGTGAATGTGAAAATGTTTTTTTGAATTATTCAAATCGGACGCTCCGTTCTCTTAAAAACTGAGTTACCGTTGCCCCGTATCTTCAAAACGGCTAGACCTGCTTGTGCCAAAAACTAATCAGCACATCTCCTTATCAACAGCAATCGAATGTTTTTTGAATAATTGAAATCGATTGAACCGTGTTCCGGAAATCGTCTAAAATTTGTATCCGCGCACTAATACACACACATACACACACACATACACACACATCACACACACACATACATGCATTTTTTTAAGGTATGCCAAAATGTTCAGAAACTTTTGAAACGTAGAGATTATTAAAGAATTATCATCAATTCCTAATGGTTTCTAATCTGTTAAAAAAATGACAATTTTAAATATATTACCTTGATTTAGAACAATTATAATATAAACTTTGCAATTTTTTTTGTCATGCATAATTGCCTTGAATTAAATAAAATTCTATTTTCTGACCTTGATGGCATCCTTGAGTTCACTGCCCCAAGCCGGCCTCGAGCCCGCCACAACGACAATACGGGTCCATTGGAAAGCCAACAAAAGCGAAACTACACTTTTCGAAACTTTTGATGAAGGCGGAAGAGTGCGAGCGAAACTTTGATAAACCTTCTTGTTGGACACTTCCGTGTCAGAGCACTTCTGTAATTTAGGTCAAAGTGTTAATTTTTAGCAGTACCGATTTATTTCGCGGTGTAAACAAACTTTGTGAATACTGTGGTGTGCGAATGTTTAATTTCGTTATAACTTTAGCGTTAACGTGCTGTTTTGAAAAAGTTTTTAATTGCATTCCGGATTTTGATGTTGATTTTGGTAATTTTCCTTACTGATTTTTCTGTTTAATATATTTGTGTAAAATTATATTTGTTTCATCACAATCTTACTCAACACATATATTCATATAAAACAAATTAGGTAAGAAAGAAATTAGTAAGTAAAAATAAGTATATATATATATATATATATATATATATATATCATTCCGTTTATTTATTGTCTTATTGTTATAAATAGTTAAAGAAAACAGACAATTTAAAACTATGCTTGCGGACCACATTAATACAACAAAACACAATATAGACTTTTCTAACCCGACTGTACTACAATTCGAACAAAATTTAATTAAACAAAGAATTATAGAAGGATCTTTTTTAACTTTTTATAACAATAAGATAATAGATAAACGGAATGAACTTAACACGCTGTGCGACACAAATATCTTTTATTAAGATAGCATTTCCAAATTTCTCACAAACAATAAAAAGGTCGCGCAAAGGATTTGCAATTCGTTCCACACATGTGTAGAATCTTGGTAAAAATATTTTAAAAAGTCTTCTTTATTATATCTTTAACCAGTCTACGAACATCACACATATTACACACTATCTGTTTGTGATTCTTTTAAATTAGTATTTTGTGAAAATATTGTTTAATTACAAGTTTAATGTTTATATTGCATAGTATAGTGCATTACCATACCCTGATACCATGGATTATTAAAATCTTTCAATTAAACACTAAGCTTAACTAATTGTGAGTACTATTTACACTTTTTAATATTTCTTTTCACTCCAATTCAATTGTTTTAGTTTTTAATTTTATTTTTAGTTTTCACTGAATGAAGGCTAGCATTATAACCAAAACGCATGAACGTAAAATATATTTTTGAAAGAAATTCATGTTTTTATTGATGTTATGCCCGATTACTAGACTATTGTTAATACATATGTCAACATCAAATTCAGAATCATACAATATATATATTTATATAAATATATGCTCTTCTAAGGGACTGCATCAAATAAAAGGAAAATATTTATATACTCGTATGTTAATATTTAATTAGGTATTTAAATTCGGTATTTAACAACAAAAAATTTTATGACATCATCAGACATTTTACTAAAATTATGAAATAAATTTAATATATTAATTTCATTTAGTAAATCAAATAAACAAAATTTAGGGCAAACATAGGTTATATATTTTACGTTTTGAAGTTAACAAACATTTAACTTCCGTCTATTATAATTTTTATTTCAAACATTGAGTATTCGAAACCAATTAATTTAAAAACAAAGAAGGCAAATTTGTTTACACACTGATCTTGTTGTGAAACATCTCGTAAAAATAATAAAAAGCACATTTTATATGTATTATAAGAAAACAAAATATTAATCAATGCGAGAAAATAAATAATCCCGAAACGTGCTTAGAATGAATTCGTATTCTTTATGAGGACTGTGAGGAGGAAGATACTGAAATTAAATATATTTAGAAATAGCACTAGATACTTACAAGTTTTATTTTTAATTATGTGTAAATAACAAATCTAAAAATATGTGTTAATTAATTACATTTATAGATCAAGAACTGATATGATGTAAGGTAAAAAATAATATATACTATCTGATTTATTATTAGAAAACTTTATTTAATATTTTATTTGTACCAAATTAATAACAGTTTCTAATAATAATAATTGTATAAATAAATTGGAACTATATTTTTATGAATTATAAAATAAAATTTAATATGATTAAAATATTAAATATCATTTCAACATTGATTATAGTAATAAAAAAACTCTAATATGGATCATTACACGATGAAGTTTATCAAAAGATACTTATTGTGAGAAGTACAATTGAAAACTAATAAAGCAAACGATAAAACAAAAAATGATGACATAGATAAAAAGTTTTAAAAAATTGCACGAAAATTTTGCTCTTGAAATTTGGCAATATTATCTTAATATTTGAAAATTGCATTCAAGCAGCATAACGATTTAAAAAATATATTGCGAATAAAATACTAAATTATCATAAATCAAAATAATTAACTTTGTATTATATTATTTCATATAAAATAGAATTAGAAATCTAAGAATTGAATATTTTAACAACTTAATTAATAATTGATCAATCATACAAAATGATATTGCTGAAAACCAAGTATATTTTGGATTAGGTATGAAACTCTAAAAAATGAGTGTTGTGCATAAATTAATCTATATTAAAAAGGATATTACTTTATGTCACGTTTTGGAGATTTTGAAGTTAAATCCTGCAAATCAAAATAAGAGCAAAACAAACAAAATGAAATATATTATTGCATTGATTAGAGCTGTACGTGATATATTGAAGAAATAATAGCAATGGAAACATTGTTTTGCATATATATGATGTATATTTTAATTAAAAGATATATAATATATCGTGATATAAAAATCTAAGCTGTTTTAGCTATGGAAAATATGAAAATCAATTTTGATTATTTGATCAATCTAAGACCTTATAAAAATATCCAAATATAGTTGCAAGCCTACACCGTAATCATGTATTCACATTCATTTCAATAAATTTGTGGAAAATGTTTGTAAACAAAGAAGAAATAAAATTATATCAATAAGTCACTGTGCTCAGAAATACTATTACATGCTTTCTTTAATATTTTATAAGTAAACTAGAAGATAATAAGTCAAATAGCACATCTGGCGATCTTACATATCGAATTTAATATATGAAAGTGGGACATTATATTGTTTTTTATGTTCTACTTGATTGTAAAAAACTGATCATATATACAGTAATATAATTTTATTCTTATACTACACGTACATTATTTGTCAATAAAAATTTTAATATGCTTTTTCTAATCGAAGCTAAATGTATATATTTTTCACGTGAATATATAATTTCCTACAGATATATTGTTCAGGAAAAAAAATGGCTTGGTATAAAAATCAGAATGCAATATACTAAAAAAATTTGTATCAACATTGAATTTATTAAGAAAATCTTTGATTAGACACATCTAAATAAATTTAATAAAATAAATTTATTTTAATTAATAAAGTAAAATCTAAATAAAAAAACTCGAATTTTGTATGAGAAAAAATAAACTAAAGATGATAAAAAAGTTTAGAGTTTAGAGAATCATAGCACATACAATTGTTACATTATCCTTTTAAATGTCCTTTATGCACATAATTTTTTAATTTATTATTTTATATCTATTATTGAATATATTATTAAAAAAGTTTCTTATATATATATATAAAAGTACGAAGTACGTGTCGGTTCGATTAACTCATCTGTTGATAATTTGATATATGGAGTTTGAGATCATCAAAGCCAACGATATAATTTGAAATAAAATACCACCTGATGAGCTTCGTCACATTAATCTAAATACGATACATGATAAATGTATAAAACTAATTAACTTTTCCTCAATCTCTATATGCATTCATATACATGAACGACCCTGGAAACTGAAATTTTCATTTTCATGTTGGACATTATTCATTCACGTAGAAAATAAGAGCCATGAAAATGATTTCATAGCTTTAATAAAAGTTTGAAATTCAATTTATAAGTATTTGATGAATTTGTTTTAAAAAGTATATACTATTCATATAATAAATTGGTTAGTGACTTAATATTCGAAAATATGTGGAATTTTTTAATAAAATTATCCAATCTTAAAAAACCTAATCATTATACAAACATGTATGAATTGATAAGTAAATTTGTCATTTTCTGTGTGAGAAATAATTATCTTATCATTATCGGTTCATAGTACACGATATATTTGTTATTGTATCATGTAGTTTTAAATATACCTAAAAATTTGTAAATAAATTACGAATATTTCAAAAATTAAGGTAACAAAGATATAAACAATAGGATTAAATGCGATCTAACAAAGAGTATAAAAAGGCGAATAAAGATTTCTAAATCTTAATAAAAGAAAATAATAATTAACTAGTGGTGTGTATGGCATCGTGCCTTGAGGCAAATTGCTGGAATTTCCCGTGCCGTAACGAAATGATCGAGGAAATTTAAATGTTTTCATATAGATTATTATAAATAAATACTGTAACATTGTATAATATTTATAAGAATTGTATAAACTGAATTGCAGAGTTGAAAATATTTGTTTAAAGTATATTAGAAAAAAAATTGAAACAATTTTTTTCCAAAAGCAATTATTTTGTTAAAACAAGCAAAAAGTTTTTTGAATCATTCAAATCGGCTCCGTATCTCCGAAACCGCTGGACCTGCACTTCTCCCCGTCATTACGAATTGAATGTTTTTCCGATCATTCAAATACGATGCTCCAATCTCTCAAAAACTCGATTTCTATTTTTTTCATTCTTTGCTCCGTATCTCCGATACGGCTGGACCTGCTTTTGCCAAAAACTAATCAGCACATCTCCTCATCAATGTTTTTTGTACCATTCAAATCGGTTGATCCGTGCGCCCGAAAACGTGGACAAAATATTGTATCCATACATACATACACACACACATCCATGTTTTCTGAGGTATGCCAAAATGTTGAGAAACCTTCAAAACGTGAAGAAAATTTCAATTTCGATTTTTGGACGATTACAATAACTTACCCTACGGGAAGTTAAAAATATTTTACGATTTGTGTAATTCAAAATTTTTAGTTTTATATCCCATTCTAGATGATTAATTTTAATTTTATACTTATTTGCTTTTATTGTATTCATATAATAAATCAATATACAAAACCAGCATAAATAAAAAAAAAATTATATATAAATCATCTTAGGATCAAAAGTTCAAAATTCATTTGATGCGCTATGAGAATAAGTTACCCATTTTTAGGCACTTATGAGTTTTAATTAATATCATTTAAATAGGTAGAAATATTAATAAAGTTAATTAATAACTATATTAACGGAACTTGATCTTGAAAATTTTGATTATCTTTGGTATATCAATGTTTTTAAATGTTTTTCTCAATGATTCAAAAACATTATTGTTTTTTAAAAAATACTATAAAATTAAATACAACTATAAACCAAATGCAAAAAATGTTTGTGTATATATAATCATCCCTCATAATCAAATGTCCTTAGAAAAGACCTTAGCATATATCCCTAATGACAAAATTATCATGAAATGAATCATATGTCAACACAACACTTAAGATATTATACTCGTATATATATGGAATTATTTGCATGACATACTACATGCGTCTACGGCGTAGCTCTACGGTCTACGCTTATAATTAATGAATGAAATCGTCGGTAAACATATTGTTTACCTGCAGTCTGCATTCTATTGGGAACTTACATTCCTTTATGCAATTATAATATATTGGAATAATCACATTTGAATAATAGATAAACGAGATATCTATTACTTTTGGAATATATTATTTTTATCAATGACTTTTTGTATTCTATGTGAAGTTGCAAAAATTTGTTTATTGACGAGGATACTCGTCATGCAAATAAATTTTTGATCATTGGCTTTTCATATTGTAACTTTTGACAAAAAAATATAAAAATTTGAGGCAATGCCGGAACCAAATAAGGGGTAAGCATTTTTTCTTTAAAACAATATTTTATCTTACAGTCCAATTAGAGCACAACGGTTAACTGGTCGAATTGTGATAGAAAAGCAAAATAATTAAAAAATAAATTCTTATGGGGTAATTAATTTTGTTTCATGTTTAACCATATTTTTTGCATAGAAGAGTATTACGGTTTCAATGAGCACATTTTTTTGTTTTATTGTACATAGCAAACTTTACACACAGTTGATAAATAAATAGTGAATTCAAAAAACCAAATTGTTATCTTCTTCTTGTTTGGATTATTTATAAATTTCTGGTTTATAACCGTCGGATTAATTTTAAACTTCTTATATATTATTCAGATAATAATGCTTTTGAATATAAATTTGACATATCCTTTTAATAAATGCAGAAATAAGTTATTAATAAATATTTTAAGTCGATAATTTAATTTTATTTACTTTAACAATCAATCAATAATCGTATTCTGATTTAAAAGAAACACTTTCCAACGGATTATATAAGAGAAAAAGGTTAATAATGAATATTTTAAGACGCTAATTAAATTTCAATTATTTTGCTAATGGTTCAATAACCTGTTCTTATCCAATCAATCATATTCTATTTTTAAAGGATTATTAGAAGATTTAATTTTAATTTCTTGAACAAATACTACCAATGTTGTGATTAATAATAAATTAATCTGATTTTGATATGATATGTACTTAATTTTTGTGTGCGTGTAACAAGTCAAAATTTTTAATACACTGATTATACCTCTTTTTATTCAAATTTCTTAAATGTTAGTTATTATACCAAGGTTGTATTTAGATCATATTTTATTTTATACATTATTATATCAACATTAAAGTTTTTTTCGAGCAAAAAATCATTTATTTAATTTTGAGCCAATTAGTTATGTCAACAAAGTTAATGAAAAGTACAAAAATAACAAAAAGTGTATACACTACAGACTACTGTGATTCTAATCGAAGAAGTATTGATAAAAGATTTTGTCAAAGCGGTCGTGGATTTTAATTTAACCAAATTTAACCACTTGATGTTTATATCACTTGGTTATACCGTGCAAGCCACAGATTTGATTTACAATCTGTTTAAGTCAATAAAATTTTCAAAGTAAACTTTTTGTCCTAACACGATATAGTACTTATCAAAATGCTCGAAATAGCTTTGCACACTCTTACATTCGTATTTATTGCCTGTTCGTCCCACGCGGCTTTTCGGTCGGTGAAACAGGACTGTGCTTTTGAGAAAAGGCAAAGGAGAGTCCTTTGATTAATTTTAAAGTTTCGTATTTCACTCTTCATTAAATGTGACACTTGTAACATTTTAAATACTGTATCAAAGGGAAAAATACTCGAATTTAAATACTCCGAAAAATGTCGTTACAAAATGTCGTTTTTTTTTTTGTGAAAAAATTTTCGTTTACGTTTTAGCCCGCAATTCTGAATCGATTTTGAACATTCAAAAACTGTTCGAAACACATTAGTTGAGAATCGTGCTGATTAGTTTTTGGTAAAGATCAGCCAGGCCGTTTTCTTGTAATTAAGTGTAAAAATTTGACGAGTTTTATGATTTTTTTGATGGTAGATACCATAGCCTTATAGATCATACAAAAATATTACGGCCCTACGACAAGTCGTTTAATTTAAAAAAAATGTCAAAGTTTGCAAAAATTAGTATCGTGTTTTGGTATTTGTCAAAATTAGACCTTTTAGCGATGATCTGCCGAGCCGTTTCTTTATAATATAAAAAAAATGTTAAACTTTTTGTTCACATTTATACTCATATTATTTCATAATCAGTTGGAAATGATACTGATTAGTTTTAGGTGAAAATCTACCGTTTTCTTGTAATTAACTGTTGAAAAAAAAATTTAAGCCGATGTTTATGGAACTTTTTTGGCGATATATATCATGGTCTTATAGAACTTACTGAAATATTACAAGTAGCTTAATTTTAAAAATTTATCGAAGTTTGAGAAAATGGGTTGTTTTCTCGACGTTTGTTAAAATGAAAATTAGACGATTTACTTGGTATAACGATAAATTACTTGGTCTTAATAAACATACTAAATCATTAAAGTCCTACGGAAACTAGCTCAATTATAAAAATTGTTGATTTTTTAAAATTTGCTTTTAGAAAATACTCCGAGTTAACGTGTTCATTCGTTTTTAATTATGTGTAATAAATGTACTTGGAATACTTGTAATCACTCATAGATTAATTTATTTTTTATTGATTAGGTCGATTATTTACACATATCGGGAAGTTCATGTAACTTGCCTCAAGGCAAAATATCAATACCAACTAGTTAATAATGTCATTCCATCGATAGGTAACAATATTTATAATAGATTTGAAAATGCATTATGGAAAAATCTTTGTCGATATTGCAGCATATTAAGATACAGATAATAGTTCAAACTTGCTAATGTTGTTAGCAAAGGCTATGTTATTGCTTATATCCGTTGCTAAGACCAAATGTTTAAATAAGCACGATTTTTATTGTAAAGATTATTGTTATCAGAAATGTAGAGTCAAAAAACTTTTGCACACTCTATAAAATATTACTATTATAAATATATTCTATTCAATATAGGTTCAGTTATCTTTTCCATTTGATCATGTGATATGTTTAAAAGAAGCTCAACTATATACTGTGACATAAAATAATTGTACTTACATATGACAGTATAGGAATATTCCATGCGGCAGCCACAAGTGCTTCTGTTGAACAAGTGTCATCCAAACCAATAATTGCTAAGGTTCCATTCTCTCGCATTTCTGACATATATCTTTAGAAAAAAATAATCGTTGCATTTGAAAAAATCGTAATCAGAATAAGTTAGTATAAATTTAAAATTTTGATATCTTTCGATATCAATAAAATTGACGTGAACCGGAAGCTTTTAAATTGATTTGTATGGAAAAGAGCATTACAAAATGTACATGTATTTGTACACATATATATCGATGCTATAATATTTCATGAATTTTCATTACTTTCATAAAAAATATAAACATTAATTATAACAAAAATCTTATAAAAAAATCATATATTTATGTCAATATCCATTTTTTTTATTTTATTTTCAATAGCAATCAGAATACATGACAATTCTATAAGCTATTTGGTTTATGTCATTTACTCATTTAATTATTCAACTTTAATAGAGCCGACAAATTCGTTTTTATCTATTTTAAATAGCATATTTCAAGATGTTAAATTCTATTTATGCGAATACAAAATAATCAAAGTAATGTTGTCGTAAGAACGAAATTTTATTAAGTTTTAATTAAAATGTATATTAATTTTATCTTAAACACTTAATTTGTTTACGTTATTCGACTTGGTATAATAATAACTGCGACTGCAATAATATGAATGTGCTCTCTTTTGTACGAGATTTACGAGAATCTACGCCACCGAATTAATAGTATACAACTGCATAATTCAATTCTAAATCTTAATTGTCGGATTTGCGCGATGAATTTATATGTAGAATATATATTTATATATACATATTTTTAAGCTAAAACGTCGGGCGTAACATCAATAAAAATAGTATGAGAGTTTTTTTAAATGTTTATTTTTTTAAAATCCATACGTTTCAGCTAGCATCTTAGCCTTCATTCAGTGGTAACCAAATTAACTATCAAAATTATATATTAATTAAATATTATATTTCGATTAATTTTTATAGTTAATTTGATTACCACTGAATGAAGGCTAAGATGCTAGCCGAAACGTATGGATTTTAAAAAAAGAAACTTTTAAACAAACTCTCATACTATTTTAAAATAAAAATTATATATTAATTAAATATTATATTTCAATTAATTTTTATAGTTAATTTGATTACCACTGAATAAAGGCTAAGATACTAGCCGAAATGTATGGATTTTAAATAAATAAACTTTTAAAAAAACTCTCACACTATATTTATTGACGTTACGCTCGACTTTTTAACTCAAATTTCTCTTTCCATCACTTCAACAATTAATTTAACAATTTAGAAATTTTGAATTAGTCTACAAAAATAAAAAATAAACTAATGATAGTAAACAAATATAAATGTAATAAAAATAGCTAATTGGCCTGATTAATTATAATTTTTACAACATATCGAAGCAGTTTTCAAATACCATTTAAATATGTATTCGATTTATTTTTATACATACAATATGTGTATATCGTTCCTATTAAATTTCAAACTTAATACAATAAAAAACAAATTGATATTTTATATACCTTATGGCCAGTGCAGCTTTTTCACTTCCGGGCTGCGAGCCGATATCTCGCGCCACATAGTGGAGCTTTCGGCCCGGAAGAAGCTCCGGGTCTTCGTTGACTGCCGTCACCGCCAATGGGAATGCGCCAAGCGCCACCTGATAGAAAAAAAGATTTTAACTCAAATAATTGTTATTGGTGTCAACAAATCAATTATTTCAGCAATAGAAAAAACAGCTAGTTACAAAAATTACATGTTTTTCTTGGTTCGAACTGCTGAATGAAAACACGTTTATTGCCGAAACTTGCTGAATAAATTGCTTTCAGTATTTTTTGTAATTGTAAGTTATATAAAAAAATATTTTCAAGGAATATGATCTACAATTATATTACATTAACTAAACCTGGTTAATTTTATTAACTTCCCGTAGGGCAAGTTATAGTAATCGCAAAAAAATCGAAAATGAAAATTTTTATATATCTTTACGTTTCAAAGGTTTCTGAACATTTTGGCATACCTTAGAAAAAATGGATGTATGTGTGTGTGTGTGTGTGTGTGTGTATGTGTGTGTGTATGTGTGTGTGTATGTATGTACGTGTGTGTATGTATGTGCGGATACAAATTTTCGTCGACGATTTCGGGAACACGGATTAACCGATTTGAATAATTGAAAAAAACATTCGATTCGTATTGATAAGGAGACGTGCTGATTAGTTTTTGGCGAAGGCAGGTCTAGCCGTTCCGAAGATACGGGGCCAAAAGTGCCGAAAACGGTAACTCAGTTTTCAAGAGAACAGAGCGTCCGATTTGAATAATTCAAAAAACATTTTACTTGTATTGACAAGATGAAGAATCGATAAAATTTTCATAAAGGTAGGTCTAGCGGTTTCGGAGATATGGAGGAAAGAGTAAAAAAATTAGCCATTTGGCGGTCAAAAATGATCATTAGACATATGCACATCAAATTATCAGATATCTTATAGAGATTTTAACAATAAGTATACATTTTGTTAACATTCCTATGGGTTCCGTACCAATGCTTATACGTTAGATGGCGGCGCGGCACTAGCGCGCTTTGACATTTCGTCTCTATGCAGTTCAAGCAGTACGATTGCATTGAAAAAAAGTTCAGAATTTCCAAAATATGTCAAAATGAAGAAAACATTTTTCTTTTCAAAAAAATTTTTATTACAAAAAACAATTTTTTCTTTCAAAAAAAAATTTTTTTTTTCAGATAATTTTTTTTTTTAATAAATAGTAATTTCTTATCAAATTTATAGTTTTTTAAAAATCCAATTTTTTCGAAGTAATTTTTTTTCATAAATGTTAATAGTTTTTAAAAAATTAATAATTTTTGGTACGGGAAGTTCCAGCAATTTGCCTTAAGGCACGATGCCCTAAATGCCTTAAGACAGAATTCCACTTACAGCTAGTTATCAAATGCATTTTGATTTTTAAACAGACGTAAAATAACGTCAGCAAACATTTTTGGTTAGCATATTTTTGATTATTATATTTACATGTTTTGAATAGTATGAAAACATTTATTTTTAGAAGCGTTTTAGTCTTTTAATTGCCACCTAAGTTTGTTGCTAATCACTTACAGTTTTTTCTCATTTTGCTAGAATGTTATAAATTATAAAATTCTTAGAATTCTAAGAGCAAAAAATGAAGTTAATTATTGGGTTGCGAATTATCATATTATATTAAGGTTTATTATTTAATAATATAATATGATAATTTGCAACGCAATAATGAACTCCATTTTTTTCTCTTAGAATTCTAGGAATTTTATAATTTATAACATTCTAGTAAAATGAGGAAAAACTGTAAGTGATTCGCAGAAAACTTAGGTGGTAGTGAAAGCTTTTAAGACTAAAACTTTGAAATGCGTTTGTTTCAAAATGTAAATGCATTTGATAAAAGCAACCAAGCTTAATAAATGTATTGATATTGCAGATTTTTTTATAATAAACACATTGATATTGCAAGATCTAAGATTCTATATAAAGGTATATATTCTTCACCATAAATATTTTTTAAGAAAAATACAATAAATAAAATTGCTGATTGTAGACTTCGATCATGCAACAAAAGTTGAAGACAGTCGAATTTTTATTGAAAGAAGTATTATAATTATGCCTAGAAATGTTACATCATATATATATATATATATATATATATATATATATATAATATTTAGTTTAGAAATCGAGCGTTACATCAATAAAAAATAGTATGAGAGTTTTCAGAAATTTATTTAAACTTCATACGTTTCAGGTAGCATCTTAGCCTTCATTCATTGGCAAACAATATAGCTATCAAAATTTAAATTAAATGAATAATATGAAATAAATTTCATAGATATAACAAAATACATGAGTATGTGCATAGTGGTATTTTTTAACATCACAAAATGCAAATCATACAAATAAACATGAATAACTTTTAATAAGTTGTCAAAACTATGTATATATGTATATATATATATATATATATATATATGTGTGTGTGTGTGTGTATGCATATTGATATCAATTTTGTTCCTAATTGTATATACCTGTGCTTGGCCATAAGCTCCCAAAAATCCTATAGTCACTACTTCACAATTTTCGTCTTGAGAATAATTGCCTTTCTGTAATGTTTTTGAATCACAAGAGTATTTGTTGAAAGTCAACACTGGTATAAAATTGATACAGATGATCGCCCACTGGTAGAACAATACCAATGTCAAAACATCACCTGAAAACAATAGTTGTTTTCGTTTAAATATTAAGAAAATTTATTATGTAATTTATGATGAACAATGAAAAAGATTAATTGGCTATTCATTTATGATTATATTTTTACTGTCGATTAGATATATGAAAATTCAACAAGGTTTATTGAGTTTTTGACATGATCTAACAATCAAGTTTGATTAAAGTGTCAATTACTTATAATATATAAAGTTCAATAATACGATGCACTTTTAAAGCGTATATTGGAAAAGTTTACTTAAGTTCATCAATAAATAATGACTTTCACAAATATACAGTAATTTAATTTTACTTTAATGGTGTTGAATTTTTTAATAGAGCATTTTAATTAAATCATACTACATCTTCTTGAGTTATTCATGGAAGCGTTCACGTAAATTGCTAAGTACACACGTTTTCACATCACATATAAACTAGAATGGTTGCATAGGGAAATAGTGAGAAAGCTTCTCAAATTTGGAATATTAGATTATTTAATTATTTATAATAATATTAATTTTAACTTATGGTGTGATAACCTTTTGAATTTTTCATTAATTTTCCGTAGGGTAAGTTATATTAATCGCAAAAAAATCGAAAATGAACATTTTTATATCTTTACGTTTCAAAGGTTTTTGAACGCTTTGGCATCCCTTAGAAAAATGGATGTTTGTGAGTATGTGTGTGTGTGTGTGTGAATACAAATTTTCGTCGACGATTTTGGGAACACGGATCAACCGATTTGAATAATTCAAACAACATTCGATTCGTATTGATAAGAAGACGTGCTGATTTTTTTTGGCAAAGGCAGGTCTAGCCGTTCCGAAGATACGGGGCAAAAACTGCCAAAAACGGTAACTCAGTTTGTAACCGAGCGTCCGATTTGAATAATTCAAAGAACATTTTTTTTGTATTGGCAACATGAAGAACTGATTAAATTTTTGGACAGGCAGGTGTAGCGGTTACGGACTCTCAATAAAAATAAGTCAAAAAAATGTCATTTGGCGGTCCAAAATTTTATAGAGATTTTCATGATGTGTACACATTTTGTGTAATTTTTTTAGGGTTCTGTACCAAGATTTTTAATAACGATGCGGAAAGTTCCAGCAATTTGCGTTATGACACAATGCCACTAGTCTTTTGATTTTTTTTTTGCTGTGGGGAATTCTTTAATTTTTAGCCTCTGCAGATGATTATATATATACTGTTTATTTCCAAGAATTTAAATGAGATTATAATAAAAATCATATTTCCAAGAGTTATTTTTGAATATTGTTTTCATATCAATTACTATTGAATATTGGATCTTGACAAAACTAGTGAACATAAGTTTGAAATATTTATAGAATCGAATAAAGTTCAAGTAGAATTTATAGCGCAACAAATATAAGTGTATAAAAATAATATGTTAATATAATTATAGAAATAGTATTATTATAGAAATATTTTTGTTTTGATATTATGCGTGAATGCAAATTCCCACTTAACGAAGAAAATAAACTACAATTATTTATAAGTAATAAATATAAATAAAATTCAAAATCTATAAATCTATACATATACATATGTTATATATGTTATGTATAGTGAACAAAAATGTAATCAGGCGTGGGTTTAATTTTGTATGTATGAGGAAAGAAAAAAATAATTATGATATTCGCAATATTCTGTATGTGATAGAAAGACAAACTTTTATCCTGACATATATAACAATCTGCTACGTTTAATAGTTACAAACGAATGTTTGCCTACGGCAAATATGAGATACTCACACACTATAGCCGGAATATAGTAGGTAAAGCTCTATCTTTGTACATAATAATATGATTTTTTTTATTTTAGAATATTTGTTGAAAACCAATATTAATTATAGATGTTGGTTCTCATGAAAATAATATAAGATAAGAAAAATAATTTCTAAACTTTTAATTGGTACATATATTTATTTTTTAGACTTAAGTGGTTTTCTATATGCTAATCAAGTTAATGGAAATAAAATTATATGAATACTTCTACATATTTTACTATTAAATAAGTTCCTATTTATGAAAATTATTCAAAACTATTATGAATATTAATAAAGTACAAATATATCAAATGATATTAATACGTTCTCAATAAGGTGTGCCTTATGATTTTGAACGCGCAAAGTATGTCCGAAAAATTTTGTTACAATCTAGTTCAACTAATTAATAATATTTATATAAATATATATATTATTATGAAATTTAATTACCCCTTTGAATCCAAATGTATTCCACTATATTTTTAACTTCCCGTAGGGTAAGTTATAGTAATCGCAAAAAAATAGAAAATGAAAATTTTTATATATCTTTACGTTTCAGAGGTTTCTGAATATTTTGGCATACCTTAAAAAAAATGGATGTATGTGTGTGTGTATGTGTGTGTTTTTTTTTGTATAGCGAAGGAAATGCTTTTATGCAACCCAGACCGGTCAATGTGTGTGTATGTGTGTGTGTGCATGTGTGTATGTGTGTTCGGATACAAATTTTTGTCGACGATTTCGGGAACACGGATGAAGCGATTTGGATAATTCAAAAAACATTCGATTCGTATTGATAAGGAGACGTGCTGTTTAGTTTTTGGCAAAGGCAGGTCTAGCCATTCCAAAGATATGGGGCAAAAAGTTCCAAATACGGTAACTCAATTTGTAAGAGAACGGAGCGTCTGATTTGAATAATTCAAAAAACATTTTACTTGTATTAACAAGATGAAGAACTGATCAAATTTTCATGAAGGCAGGTCTAGCGGTTTCGGAAATCTAGTAAAAAAAGTAAAAAAAATGCTATCTGGCGGTCAAAAATGATCATTAGGCATATGAACATCAAATTATCAGATATTTTATAGAGATTTTGTTTACATTCCTATGGGTTCCGTACCAATACTTATCCGTTTGACGACGGCGCGGCACTTACGCGCTTCGATATTCTGTCTCTATATAGTTAAAGCAGTACGATTGCTTTGAAAAAAAGTTCAGAATTTCCAAAATATTTCAAAATACACTTTTCTTCAAAAAGTCTTTTTTTCAAAAAAAAGTAAATTTTTGTCACAAATTTATAGTTTCTCAAAAATCTAATTTTTCAGGGTAAATTTTGTTCAAACATGAAAATCTTTAAAAAAAAATATTTTTGATACGGGAAGTTCCAGCAATTTGACTTAAGGCACGATGCCATGCACCCCACTAGTTTAAAATCTATTTATATAATTCATATATCAAAAATCATTTCAAATACCTAAGTCTCTTTATATGTCTGTATAAGCTTGCTTGTGTATGAGTATAATCTAATAAATCGGTAAGTGAAAATACGTACAAAAAGTTAATGATCTGAAAACCTATAATTCAAGTGTTTTTCAATTCAGAACATATTAGAAACAAGATTGTGTTTTCTTTGCAACTAGACGGGGAATGCCAAAAAATACTTACAAATAATCCTGGCTCAAGATCAATTGAAGCGTATTAAAATACTTAATTGATTCTTTCGGAATAAATTATCATAATTCGTTTGTCTGCCATTAAAAGCAATACTCAAACGCATAAAAATTCTATAATACTTTGCAATACTGTGTTTAGAGGATTTGGAAAGTATATATATACTCTTATTATTCACTCGTTTATTTTTTAAATCTTCAATTTTTTGGATCAATATGCTAAAGCAATTAAACTTAAAACAATAAAAAAATCTACTTTTAAATTATTAATGATTATACGTAATCACATTGTCTTGAACAAAGTATGCAGATATCTAACGAGTTGAAAGTTATGAAAAATTAATGAGTGTTGAAAAAGGATCCGAAAGAGATCAAATGTTTGGTAAATTAAAAAATAATGATCTACTATTCTTTATAAATGACTTGTGTTAACAGTTTTTTAATTAGATTTATTTGAGCATATCTATATCTTATCTCAGTTCAAATGCACCAAAGATTTTTATAAATAAAATATAAATCATTAATTAAAATCAGATATTTATTAAAAACTATTATTAATTTTGCTGCGCTTCTACCGCAAGCAAAAATTCTCTATGATAATTATTTAATTATTAATAAGAAAAATGTAACTTGATGTTATCATAAATTAAATTATCAATCAAAATATTTAGTGTCGTTATTGCAATTATATTAGGATTATCCAAATTGATGTATATTTATCTGATTACCAATTTATATAAATATAAGATTATTAATTGTTTTAATTTTCTAAAACTTCATGTTGCTGTTTTATTTTACTGATGTCAATAAAACTTATTTTTGTTCACGATTTTTTCAAAGTTTATTTTAATTATATCAAAATATTTTTTTTCCTAAAATAATTTATTTCTTGTTTCTAGATGAACTTTAGGTATATAATTGAAAATATCAGAATATCAGAAAATTTTTCATGTGGGCTATGTAACATAGTGTATCAAGGAAACTCAATGTATCAAAAAAAGTTCTTTTCTAATATTTCTGGGAAAACACTATTTTCTATATTATTATACATACATGACTGACAAGGCCCTATATTAAAACTTTTTTTTCCTTCTCCCAAATCTTCTTAGCCTCAAACACATATAACTGATATAGAGATCAACATGTTAAAGTAATGTTTAAAACTTCTATTTCTTTGATTCAAAGAATTTACCAGAAGCTTTGTCGGTTATATATTATTTTTAATTTAATTTTTCAAATTGAATTTATTATTTTTTGTTACAAATGTAACTATCGTAACTGTAAACGTGTTAAAGTTAATTAAAAAATGTTTAAACATCGAAACAGTTTAGTTTAAATTAATTTCTTTTACTGGATTCAAATTAAATTTTTCTTTTGTTTTTAATTATGTATCACACACACACACATATATATATATATATATATAATATTAATAACAATCTACGTACCTCTAGTAATTGAACTTTTTTTAATAAAACTATGCATATAGAAATTGGCTCAAAACGTTGCAAAATTCTCAATTAATCAATCACTACTTTCAATTTCTTTACTTTTAAATATTATTAAAAATACTTAATATCGATAATAAATTTCTAATAAATAGATAAATCATTTGTTATGGTTTATCAACCGATTATACCGTGATTCAGAACAACACTGGTTGCTTTAACGATGATGTACAACCACGTGAATGCAAGGTTACGCCTCCCGTCAACAACCCCTAACAGTAGCGTCGAATTAAATGCGCATAGATAGTAATTCAATAATTAAAATGGGTTAAAATGGGAAAGTAATAGTTTGCTATAACCTAAATTGTTAATTAATCAATTGTAATTATGGGTAGTGGGTGGGTTATGGCTCTATGACCTAACAACTATTGGATAAATATTAGTTTTTAACTTCCCGTAGGGCAAGTTATAGTAATCGCAAAAAAATCGAAAATGAAAATTTTTATATATCTTTACGTTTCAAAACCTCTGAACATTTTGGCATACCTTAGAAAAAATGGATGTATGTGTGTATGTGTGTATGTGTGCGTGTATGTGTGTATATTCGGATACAAATTTTCGTCGATGATTTCGGGAACACGGATGAAGCGATTTGAATAATTCAAAAAACATTTGATTTGTATTGATAAGAAGACGTGCTGATTAGTATGTGGCAAACGCAGGTCTAGCCGTTCCAAAGATATGGGGCAAAAAGTGCCAAAAACGGTAACTCAGTTTTTAAGACAACGGAGCGTCCGATTTAAATAATTCCAAAAACATTTTACTTACATTAACAATATGAACAACTGATCAAATTTCCATAAAGGTACGTCCAGCGGTTTCAGAGATCTAGTGAAAAAAGTAAAAAAAAATACCATTTGGCGGTCAAAAATGATCGTTCGACATATGCACATCAAATTACCAGATATTTTATAGAGATTTTAACAATAAGTATAAATTTTGTTTACTTTCCTATGGTGCCAATGTTTATCCGTTAGACGGTGACGGTGACGCGGCGTTAAAGCAGTACGATTGCTTTGAAAGTTCAGAATTTCCAAAATATTTGAAAATAAATTTTTCTTCAAAAAGTCTTTTTTTCAAATAAAGTATCTTTTATTTATCTCCGTAAATCTTTTCATCGAGCATTTTTAACGGCAATTAAAAGAGTTTACAAATGACACATATCACACGAACAACTATTTCAAATCGTTCAGTGAAACTCCCAACTAATTCATCATTGTAAAAATATGTTTTTTTTGCATTTTTTAGAAGGGTTCTTTTCACCCTATAGGCTGAGCAGAATTGGACGGACAGGAGACATTAGGTCTAATGACTTATTTTCAATTTTGAAAAGATTTTACGGAATATTATTAGCTACATTACGCAATCAATACAAAATATAAAAGTTTTATGAGTACATTTTTAAAAGAGGTGCAATGTATATAAACTTAATCTGGTATTTAGTCAAAAATATTCATCAGCAGAAATGAAATATTTATTTATTCAATTTATCCCTTATAAAATTGCTTTCATAATCCGATTTACTATTTTATTTACGTTTTTTGTTTACACTTTTGCCAGAGTAAAGATCAGCTGTTCCATTTTACTCCACCCAGCTTTTATAAATAAAACTGGTAAATCTATCTTAAAATTAATAATACATTTTATAAAACAATTATCTAACGTATACTTGGAAATTATATTGAAGCCTCGCAAACAGAGCTTGCAACTAAAAAACCTAACAACGAAAGAAAATACTTTTGTTATGGATTTTCAAACATTGCCGTTTATCTTCTGATAGCAACGTCGTAAGAATTAAAAAAATCCCCTTTTTTTCAAACATTGTTGTTGAAAAATTCTTAATTTGACTTGTTTTTAAGATATTGGTCGAAAACCTTTTTAACCAAGGACCTTTAAACCTAGCTTAGTCAGAAATATTCAGCAGCAGAAATGGAATATTTATTTATTCAATTTATCTCTTATTATAAAATTGCTTTCTTAACTAGATTTGCTGTTTTATTTACGTTTCTCCTCAACACATTTGCCAGAGTGAAGGTTCAGCTGGTCCATTTTACTCTACCCAGATTTTATAAAAGTTTTATAAAAAAAACTGGTAAATCTATCTTAAAATTAATAATTCATAAAAAACCTAACAACGAAAGAAAATACTTTTGTTATGGATTTTCAAACATTGCCGTTTATCTTCTGATAGCAACGTTGTAAGAATTAAAAAACTCCCCTTTTCTTTCTTATTTCTTGTTGTTGAAAAATTCTTAACTTGACTTGTTTTCAAGATATTGGTGGAAGACCTTTTTCTCCACGGACCTTTAAACCCCGCTCAACCATGTATATGAGTTATTTTAACTCGGTGTCTAAAAATGAGTCGAATAACCATATTTTATATTCATTTTAATTTCTGTTTTCGGCGACATAACAAAATCTATTTACGATAAGATACTAATACATTATCATAAATTACTATCTAAATAATAATTTCAATCAGAAGCATGTCGACATTCGGCCTACGCACGTATAACATGCATGTCGGTTGCATAGAATCCATTATGGATATAAATATGCGCCGCATGATTCGTCTACGCTAATGATATCCCGTCAAGTTGGAAATCTTGGGACGGGAAAAGCCGGAAAACATGAAGAGCGCATGTTCACGGCTTTCACATCGGTTAGAAGAACATCACCAAGTTTTATGACTTCATATGATCTAATGTATTATCATTCCGGATAAAGAAAATTTTCAACTTTTCCGTTAGGTGAAAGTAAATATTTGAGTAGTATTGTTGATGATAATGTTATGTCGTATCAACTTGTTGATTTATTTCAGAATGTGGATAAAAATTTGTTTTGGCTTTATCATTTTTAGCATTCAACCACTTACATAATTAACTTCCCGAAGGAGAAGTTTGTTTTCATCAAAAAATTCGATTCGCTAATTTTAAGTTTTCTTGACGTTTCAAGCCATTCTGAATCGAATGAGACCAAATTTGGAAAAAGTATGTGTGTGTGTGAACCGACTGTTTTCTCAGAAACGGCTGGACCGATTTCAAAAATTTAATATCCAATCGATGTATTTTGATGTGGATTATTGTTTCTCAGTTTTGTGCAGCGATCGGCCGAACCGTTTCTTTGTAATTGGAAAAAAAGTGTCAAACCTTTCGTCCACATTTAAGCTCATACTACCGAATCAATTTAAACAAATCAAAAACTGTTCGGACGATATTAGTTGGGAATAATACTGATTAGTTTTAGGTGAAAATCTACCGAGCCATTTTCTTGTAATTAACTGTTGAAAAAAATTTAAGCCGATTTTTATGAGATTTTTTTGGCGATATATATCATGGTCTTATAGAACTTTCTGAAATATTACACCCTTACGACAAGTAGTTTAATTTGAAACAATTATCAAAGTTTGAGAAAATGAGTAGTTTTTTTGACGTTTGTTAAAATTAAAATTAGATGATTTAATTGGTATAACGATAGAGTACTTGGTCTTAATAAACATACTAAACCATTAAAGTCCTACAACTGGTTCAATTATAAAAATTATTTATTTTTGAAAATTTGCTTTTAGAAAATAGTCCGAGTTAACGTATTTGTTCGTTTTCAATTATGTGTAATAAATCCACTCGTAATACTTTTAATCACTCATAAATTGATTTATTTTTTATTGATTACGTCGATTAATTACACATTTTGGAAGTACATGTAACTTGCCTCAAGGCAAAATACCAATACCAACTAGTTTTTTTCGGTTCGATATGCTACATTATATTGTTTATATGTTTATACCGGTAACCATACGTTCCGGTTTGGCCTCAAATTTCCATATTATGTTCCGGATTTTTCTACAAGCAATATTTGTCCCGGATTTAGAAATTTTGTTCCGGATTATCTCGGGTTTTCAAAAAGTAAGGTTTAAATGCAATCTTTGCAAATAATTGATATTGAAATTACAACACCCATCAAATATCTGAAAATGATATATACGAGTATGCTTATATGAAACAATACGTTATAAATGAGAAACTTGCCGAATACAAAATCCTAAAATAGACTCTTACATTAAAAATTTTGAACCTTTATTTTCAATATCTCGAAAATTGACAAAAAAATTTTTTTTTGAAAAATATAAAGGTTTTTACTTCATTGTATTTTTAAAAAGTATTTGTTATTTTAAAATCACATTTAAGATAGCATAAGGCCTATCCTCATATTGCAAAATTATTCGGCTCTTTGTAGCTGGAAATTATGCTGATTAGTGTAAAGATCGGCGGAGCTTTTTGTTGCTTTATAATTAATTTTTGAAAAAAAATCTTTTAACTATTTTGAGGAATTTTTCATGAACTTCTGACTTTGACAAACATCCTAAAATATAATGTGCATAATAATGGTTTACCTTAAAATTCTTTTGAGCTTGGAATAATGGGATATATCAAAACTTCTAATTGATAGATGTAAATTTTTGGCTCAGAATAAAAAGTTTTTGCATCATTTCTTAAGACAAATAAGCACTTACATTTACGAGTGCAATACTTTGAGAAACATTGTATTATATATTACATAAAACCGCGTAATATTTGGTGTATTACATCCAAAATTATTTCCACCGTATGGGGTCTTGATTAAAGTCTTCGTTCAGTACATTTTATTTTATTTAACAACAAGAATGTAGACTATAGTATCAAATGTAGTATATTTTACTCATGTTTCAGACTATCCATGAATGATTTCCATGAATGGAATAGTACGCTTATTGTTTAATTAAATTCATTTGATACACCTTGCGATAAAATGGCAATTAGGGTAAAATATGATAACGGCCTACCTAGGCGAAAGGCGGGTGACTCGCACAACTATTAATTAATGTCATTTATTCAGCATATAAATATATAGTCGTCAAGTGCAAATTAACATCAGCTGTAATGCAATATTGAATAATTGACGGAAAATCAATATCACGTTGACATCAAAAGTTAACTTGACGAGGTTTATTTTCAGCGTCGCTTATTAATCTTTAACCAAATTAATTTACATTGAGTTTGACAGGTCGAAATATTGATAGTAAATGTCAACATTTATTTAAAATTAAAAATTGTATACATTAAATCTAATAGTTGATAATTTATCCAACAAAAAATTAATTATTTTAATTTCAAATGTAGTTTTATTTTTTGATTTACTAAGATTTCGGATTTATGAAGTTAATTAAGCTTCCATTGTATTATTGTTACATATACTCCTTTGTATTAAATTTTGATACAAATTTACTTTTTCAAGCTCTTAGTAGGTAATAATAGTGCTTATGGTGTGTATACAAATAATTTAGTTATTCAAATGTGTTAATCTTAAATCAGTCCAATTTGACTTTGAGTAATTATAATGTAAAAACCAAAGCAATTATTTCACAACAAATAACACATATCAAACAAACACCTATCTGAGTTAAAAAATTACGATATAATTATTATATTATAATAGCTACATTATTCAACCAAAGTAAAATATAAATTTTATGTGTACATTTTCTACAGAGTTGGAATAACTATTTGTTTAATTTTTCTTTTGTAAAATTACTTTTCTTAACATAATTTACTTTTTTATTTACTATTTGTTAAAGAATTCACCTTTGCCAGTGTAAAGCTTCATTTGGTTCTTTTTATCCCACCCCAAGCTTTTATAGAGGTTATATGAAAAAAAACTTCATATTAACAATTCAAATAAAAAAATAAAACGAAAACAAAATTAACAAACAATCAAAAAACAAAAGAAATTACATTTTCTCTTGAAAGCGATGTTGTAAATTAAAATTATGGCTGGTTTAACATCTTTTTCCCTCTCTTTTAAAATATAGTTTTAAATAATTCTTAACTTTATTTGCTTTTGAAATATCGGTTTACCTGTGGAGCCTAACTCTACTTTATTTTAATTTAAATTCAGTTCATTAAATGAGATAATATATTTGACTTTTTTTAAATCAGAACAGCCATTGTAAATAATATTAAAACAAATTGAAAAAAAATAACAAAGTAATATTATTTTATTTTAATAATTTTGAACAATGCATATTGCGCATACCTACATTATGTAGAATTAAATTATCATATTTTGACGATATAGATTGATACATTGATATAAATGTTTATCTATTGCATTATTACCAAACTGAATTCCTTAGATTTATCTAGTTTATTGTATCAATTGCTAAATAAGTATAAGAAAAATGTAACATTCCCAAACTTTTGCAGGACGTCAATTGATATTTAATAATAATAAACATTTTGTGTTTATAAATTATTTCATTGATTAATTAATAAATTGAAGTATGAACGCAGTAGTTCAGCCAATAGCAGATAAAACACATGTAGTTTGCAAGAATGCCAAAAAAATACTGATAAATAAAAAAAGACTTTTACATAATATATGTATAATATTTTTACGAAGATCATTTTCTTGTGTTTTATTGTTAGTATTATAATTCTTAGTGATATTATCAAATTAATGAGAATATGAGATAAATAACTACAGAAAGAAAAAGTGTATATTTGCAAATATATATTAAAATTCGATCTTTTAAAAAAAAATTGAAGAAGTGGCGTGATTTTGATGTTGTGAGTATAATTGTCAAAATACTTATGAATAAATCTGTTTCTAATTTTGTTGCATCTATGAAATTAATTATGAAATTTTTGATTTTATATTTATTTAAAATGAACTGATATATGGAAATATATTGTATGTATATTTGTTTTTAATAATAATTGTTTGTGGACATAAATTATAAATGTGTATATAATTATATAAATTCATTTTCAGAAATTAGAAATACATTTACAAATATTACAAACAATTATGGAACTGAAGGTTTTGACTGTCGTATTACTGTCCATTATACCTAAATTTGAATTTATTCTAATCGATTACCTGACTAGTGGTGAGTTGTGAATTACATAAAAAAATTAACAATTTTGATGAAAATAATATTTCTTAAAAAATGCCTAAACTAATCATCAATCTTCTTAATTCTATATAAGTAGTTTAACATTCATCTCTAA